AAGTATAAAACAAAGCAAAAATAAAGTTAGAAAAATAATAAAATAAGTTAGAAAAACAAACAAAAAAAGCAGAATTCTCCAAGGGACTTAGAGACCACTTCTTAAAAACATTTAAGAACCTTCTCTTTGAAAATTGCTCTAGGCTGCTTCTCATCAAATCACCAACCAGGAATTAACACTCTCCAAGTCTCTTACACCAACAATCAGGAATTAATACTCGCTAAGTATTTTTCAATCAATCCACACATCTCAATGTGATACCCTCAATGTTCTTAAAAGACAAATGTTTACTTTCACATCTATGTCGATGCCATTTGATAACTCAGCAACATTTGACTATGAAAAATAAGAACTTGAAAAACTTTTCAAATGGCTTCAACCTCTCTCAGTAAAGAGTTGCTGCTTTTGAATACTGTTGCTAAGAAGGGTGAAATCAGTGTCCAGTAAAATTAAACTTATCGCTCCTAATGAGTTAGTGAAAGGAGAAAATGATCTGAGACTCCTGGTGGGCTAGCCAATACAAATACCTGGGTGGAGAAAGCTACATTCACACACGGGAATTATCTAATTGGTAAAGAGTTTAAAGAAACAGACGCAAGCAGCAAACCAAGCTGTACCATAGAACTAAATGTGCTTCACATGTTTAGCAGACCTTTGATTCATACTCTCAAAAGAAATTAAATCAAGCCAATAAAAATAAATAGTTGAAGTAATGAGTCATCAAACAGCGATAATGTATACAATTTGTGTTTGTTAATCTAGTAGATTAACAGATGGTAAGGTTATCTCAGGGATCACTCTCAGAACGATTCTGTAAAAGACTCATTGATGCTTCCCTCTCCATTAATGCTAAACCACCTGGTATTGACTTTATGGTTTCATCATTTCATTTGGTTAAGAGAGAGAAAGATACGTGTTTATATTCACTTTTAAACCACAAGCAACCTGGATTTCACAGTAAGTTAGATGATTCTGCAAGTTATCATAATATTATAATCATTTTTCTTACATTATGCATTATTGGATTCAGCACTTTTACACCTTCTAATACAAAGTGTGTGCAGAATTCCTAATAGAAATGGTTAGACATTGTAATTTTCACTGCTGTCACAATGCAAGAGAAAACCCCTTCACAATCTTTTGCATTAAGCCTAGAAAATGCTTTATCATTAGAGACCTAAATATCTCTCATATATTCCTGGGAGAAATCCGACTGGACAAATTCAGCTTAGGTACTTTGGGAATGGCAGAAACAAACAAAAATATGACTATATAGAAGTGGGCAGAAGACATGAGGAAGTTGAATAATACTAAAGTAACGTTAGTATCTTGTACATAATGGAAAGCAGACATTCTTTAAAGGCAACAGCTGATACCTGATAAGCTCTTTCCAGTTTTCAAGGGGCTTTTACATATATCATCCTACCTGCCCCGCAACCATAAAGGTGAGCAAGGAAGAAGTACTACCCTCATTTTAAATAAACAAACACCACAAGAGATTAAGTAAATTGCCAAACGGCTTGGTAACAAAAGCATGCCTTCTGACTCCCTGATTAACCTTCCTTCTACCACATTATTAAATATTTAAGTTATTAAGTATTAACTAATAGCAGTGTGATCATTCCACCTCAGGATTCTAAGCTCAGTGGTGCTTCCCAGCTTTCAGTTTAAATTCTCGGAGTACTACTTTCCAGCCTGATCTTCAAAAAAGAAAAAAGTATATTTTGCCTATATAAGAAGAAACAATTACAATGACTTGATCTCGTCATATTGTAGCCATCTGATCTTCTACCACCTGCTCTACCTGATGCCAAAAACAGTAGTTTACTTGCCAAGCAGACAAGCTTAACCTGTTGAGAACAAATCCTCTCAATCCCTTCTCTCAGTCTGAATTGTTTCAATCAAACTGGTGGATCTATGAGAAATGGGTGAATACTTTTCAGTGCCTTTTCTTGTACCCGACAGTGATTAATAGCAAATTCTTATAAGACACATTGTAAAATGATGGCAAAGAAAAACTATCATTGGGTGGGGAAAAGCAGGTGCTAGGTGAATCACTTTCCCTTCACTTTCATTCATTTATTTAAGCTAACATTTATGATAAATGTCAGGCACAGAACACAAAGTATAAAAGTAAAATAATAGCTACTGTGAATGAGTGGTTACTCTGTGCTGGACAATATTATAGGTGCTTTATGAGAATTAGCTCATTTAACAAATTAGTGAGGAAAGTACTATTAGACCATCGCTTGACAGATAAAAAAAATAAAAGGTTAAGTAAGATACTCCGCATTACACAGCAGGTAAATGCCAGTTCAGGGATTTAAATCCAAGGCATCTGGCCTCAGAGGCTGTGCTCAAAACCTGAGTTCTGTAGACTACAACCAGTGGGCCAAAGCAGGTCCACCACCTGTTTTTGGTTTTACACTTTTAAATGGTTGAAAAGAAAATAATTTAGTGACATGTGAAAATTACATGAAATTTAAACGTCAGTGTCCATAAATTAGAAAATAGCCAAACTAATTCATTTACATATTGGCTTTGCCCGCTTTTACATTACAAAGACAGAGTTGAGTAGCTGCAAGGGAACCATTCATGGCCCAAAAAGCTAGAAACATTTACTATCTGGCCATTTACAGAAAAATCTTCTGACTTATGCTCTAAACCATTGTACTTTATGCCTATTCAACATTTCTCCTTAGATGTCTTAGGAAGTGTCCCAAACTTAACATATCCAAAATCAAACTCCTCATCTCCTCCACCACCCGCATACATCCCAGTCCATATCTTAAGAGTTTTCCCCTATGGAAAGTCCATCCTTCTCTTAATAGTTATAAAAGCCATAGACCTGGAGTATCTTTGGCTCTTTCTATCACTCATGTTCCAAACCATCATCAAATACAGTCCGCTCAACCTTTGAAATGCCCAACCACATTTCATTACTTCCGCCACTTGCACCCTGACCTACGCCATTGCCATTCCTTCTCTGAATTATTGCCATAAACTCAGTAATTCTTCCTTGCTTCAAATTCTTGCCCAAGACAGCAGCCAGAGTGCTCTTCTACTCACAAACACTTTGGCCATCCCAAACAAGCCAACCACACTCCTGCTTCAGGGCTTTGGCACTGGCTTCCTTCCCTATTCCTACTTTCCTGTTTCTCTTCTCAAATGTCATCTCATTAGATAGACCTTCCCTCTCAACCCAACCCATGCCTAACCTGGGCCCCGGGACTTCCTTTTCCATGCTTTATTGTTCTCCAAATTATCCCAACCTGCCATACAACACATATACTGGCTTTAAGTTGAATTTAAGCTCCATGAGAGCAGCTGTTTAGTTCATTTGTCTTCACAAGTACATATCTAGCATTAGACCAGGGCCTGATTTATATTAGGTACTTAAGTAGATATCTGCTGAATGAATGAGAAAATAATCCCTATATTCAAGAATCATTCAGCCCAGTGACATATGGAGAAGGTAAACACATTTAACATATAAATAACTGTACTGAGTGGGGTTTAATGATGTATTTCTTATTTTTTCCTACTTTCTTACCAAATAACACATTCTAAACAAATCAAATTAGGGGGGACTCAATCAAAAGGAAGAGAAGGCTCACTCTGTCACCTCACAGCATGTGTATAAAATTAATTTAGATAACAACTTTTTTTTTCCCCTGAGACAGAGTCTCTCTCTGTTGCCTGGGCTAGAGTGCCATGGCGTCAGCCTAGCTCACAGCAACCTTAAACTTCTGGGCTCAAGCAATCCTCCTGCCTCAGCCTCCCGAGTAACTGGGACTACAGGCATGTGCCACCAGGCCCGGCTAATTTTTTCTATGTATATTTTTAGTTGGCCAATTAATTTCTTTCTATTTTTAGTACAGACGGCCCCCGCTCTTGCTCAGGCTGGTTTCGAACTCCTGACCTTGAGTGATCCTCCCGCCTCAGCCTCCCAGAGTGCTAGGATTCCAGGCATGAGCCACCACGCCCAGCCCAAATCTACTTTTTGAATGGGTGTACTGATGAGGTTCTCAGACTCTCTGCTATCACGCCTGGCCTCAAACTCCCATTCTTAAAGCCACTGCCTTCTAGCCGGGCGCGGTGGCTCACGCCTGTAATCCTAGCTCTCTGGGAGGCTGAGGCGGGCAGATTGCTCGAGGTCAGGAGTTCGAAACCAGCCTGAACAAGAGTGAGACCCCGTCTCTTCTATAAATAGAAAGAAATTAATTGGCCAACTAATATATATACAAAAAAAAAAAAAAATTAGCCGGGCATGGTGGCAAATGCCTGTAGTCCCAGCTACTTGGGAGGCTGAGGCAGGAGGATTGCTTGAGCCAGGAGGTTGAGGTTGCTGTGAGCTAGGCTGAAGCCACGGCACTCACTCTAGCCTGGGCAACAAAGCGAGACTCTGTCTCAAAAAAAAAAAAAAAAAAAAAGCCACTGCCTTCTTATATTTCAGTCTTAATTCCCTCCTTTGCATCTCTGTCAAATTCTAGGTCCATGTTGAGTAGACATACATGTCTTCTCCTTTTCCTAATTCTTCTCTTTAAGTTCTACTATTCAGCTCCTATCTACTGCTCTTGAAAGAGACATTCATTTCTTAGCCACAAATGCAGCAAACAGAGCTTTCACAAAGAAAATATATCTTTTAAAACACTACCATTTCTAAGAATGTACTCAAGTTTAGTCAATGTTTGGGTGAGTTAAGAGTAGCATTGTACTGTTTGACCTGAAAGCAATGTGGATGCTAAACATATAAGGAAAAGTATTTGGGGAAGTTCCAAAGTGGTAAAATGTATCAATGAAGCAGTACCACAACCATCCCAAAATGATAAGAGAAATGACATTCTCAGACAGAATGAACTACCTGTTTGGCTTCTTCATTTCTTCGCCACTTTTTAACAAGGAAATGCAGTTATAGTCCTTAATTTATTGATTTTTAAATAAATATATGGGAATGCTGCATATGTGTAAAGAGAATCAATGACAAAAAATAATCATACCCTCTCCTCCAGTCTAGCCAGCTGCTCTTTGTAGAATGCATCCTGCTTCTTTAGCACTCGGTCTTTTTCTTCCAGCTGCTTAGCCTAAAAAAGGAAATGAAGAATATACTATATCAAGAAAAAGCAGCAACAGCAAAGCAAAAGTATAAATTGCATTACAAATAAGTATAGAAAGCTGAAGATTTTTGCAATCTATTAGGTCTCTGCCATAGAAAAAGATTAATAAGATGATGATTGCTGCATTTAAATGTAAAGAATAAATCTGCATTGTAATTTTTTTTTTTTACTGTACCAGCTGTGTCCTACTTTGTCCAAATGTATTTGGAAATGTCAGAATACAACACTCTACAGACTGTCTTATTTAACTCCTCTTTCAAAGAGTAATTTCAAGGACTAATATTTTGCACAATATAAACTTTGATTTTACTCTGAGTATAAGAAACGTGGTTACTAACCTTCTTAAAGAATAACAAAAAAGCCTTAATTACATTTTGTATATAAATCTTATGTTTGAGAACTCTTAAATTGCCACTGAAACTTGCATATAAACATATGCATTGTTACCTAGTTTCCTTTTTACAAAGAATTTGTTGTCTCGGATGGGTGGGAGCAAAAACTACTATAATTGTTTATTTCAATAATTTAACATAATGATAATAAATAAAAATAATTAAAATCAATTAAAAAACCTTTAGGTATCTCACTTCTAAATTTACAAAATCAAAAAATTAGTAGTAAAATATTTCTGGTTCTTTAAAACAATAATGATAAAGATAGCTACTTATGGATATTTTTCAAGATTAGTAAAAAATGCATTTCTTAAACAGTTGTTAGCATCTTAAATATTGGGATCGATTCACCTTTGTCTCTGAGGGAAGGGACCTCCCTATATAACTCTGAGTTAATAAAGTTTTCAACATACCTTTTGTTCAGTGAATGCTGAATGCCTGACTACTACTTTTAAGAAACAGAGCAAGTATATATTTTGGCATTACCAGCCTTGTGCCGTGCACCGTGTTCTTTTGCGAAGTGATAGTGTGGTGCCGGGCACAGATGTCAGGGAGCCTGTCTACTCAGCTATCTGCTTAGTTTGGGTGAACTGATTTGCACATTTGTAGGTTGTCATTTTGCTACTTACTTTGTCTTCCATATCCTGCAGCATGTTAAAAACAAACAAACAGTTATTTAAAAACATAAGTATTGTTTTTTCCTAATGTCACAGAGAAATCTGATGGATAATATCTAAAATGCAAACCAAAGAAGACAATGGGGAAAAAATAAGATAAAATGCTTAACTTGGGACACATTTAAATATCACTGTGCCATTCCAGTTTGAACAGAAGATTTCAAAATGAAAAGTTTATGCTGCTGGAATGCATATGAATAAATAAAAAATATAATAGTAAGGTAAGATAAAAATACATTCATATGCAAGTATATAATTTATGGCTCCTTAGTCAACACAGTAAAACCTTTAGTGGACTGTTAGGAATATAAAAAAAAAAATAAATGGAGAAAAGAATTTTGACAGATAAAACTAAGTGTGAAGAAAATATACGTGACTACATAACCTAAAGAGAAAAGTCTTCTCTACATTCAACACACACACTCAAAACATAAATAAAGGAAATAGATAAGAACAGACTCATAAAAACTTTCATAAAACAAAAAAAGTCATAAAGTCAAAAGAATAAGAAAATGGCAAAACGAGGAAAAGAAATGCTGACATGTAACTGTGAAAGTTATGTTATTAATATATAGAATACTTAAAAACAGCCTATTCCTCCTCCTTTCCCCCACCCAAAAAACCCAAAAGAAAAAGACAAAAATAATAAACTGGCAATTCACACAAAAAAATATTATACACACATGAAAAAATCCAACTCCACAGGAAATAAAAAATGCAAATTAAAATAGTGTTTCAGTATTCATCTATCAAAATGATAAAAATATAAGATAATAATACTAAATATTGGCAAAGTCCAGGAAAACAGGCTCTTCTATACACTGTTGGTCAGAATGTAAATTGCTATAACCATTTCATAAATTAACATGATAAAATGCAATAACTCTTAACAATGCACATATGCACTGAGGTCTAAAAACTGTATTTCTTCTAGTACTTTAGTAATTAAGGCAACATGCCTAGATGTTCATTATAAGGTTGCTTAGATTTTCAAAACAAACAAACAAACAAAAAAACCAATCCAATGGTTGAATAATATATATATGCTAAGTACACTATGTAAAAAAGAAAAAAAGAAAAAGGTTATGAACAGGAAGGACAGTATAGCCTCCTTTTTTGTAGCAAAAAGGGAAAATAAAAAAAATCCTATATTCTATAAAATGTCAACAGAGGTTACAACAGAGTAGTAGGCTTATGGGTGGGTAGTTTCTATTTTTCTTATTTTTGCTTCTTTATATTTTCAGAATTAAAAATAAACTTTATAGTCAAGGGGCAAAAGGAAGAAATTTTTTTTGAGGTGAGGAAACGAAGACATTTCTTGATTATGGTGGTGGTTACACAATGGTATGCATTTGTCAAAAGTCATAGAACTGTATATCAAAAAGAATGAATATAAAATATAAATTTTTAAAATAAATATAAATTAAGTATGCCAAAATTTATAACTATAAATGCATGGATGTGTGTATAAATCTTTATTATTGTTAATCTTCTTACCATGTGACCAATTTTACTTCCAGGCATTCAACCCTAACAAATATTAAGTACAAAAAATTTATAACCAAGAAAATACAACCCGCATTATTTAAAGCAACAAACAAGTGTGAACAACAGAAGTTTGAGTGAATAAGATAATGGTCCAACAATGGGGGATTGATTATAAAGAATTTAACCCAGCCATATGATCAAACATTAAAGCCACTGAAAATGGATGTTTTAATAATTAACTTTTTGGCCAGGCGTGGTGGCTCACGCCTGTAATCCTAGCACTCTGGGAGGCCAAGGTGGGAGGATCTCTCAAGGTCAGTTTGAAACCAGCCTGAGCAAGAGTGAGACCCTGTCTCTACTAAAAATAGAAAGAAATTAATTGGCCAACTAAAATATATAGAACAAATTAGCCGGGCATGGTGGCACATGCCTGTAGTCCCAGCTACTTGGGAGACTGAGGGATCGCTTGAGCCCAGGAGTTTGAGGTTGCTGTGAGCTAGGCTGACGCCACAACACTCTAGGCTGGGCTACGGAGTGAGACTCTGTCTCAAAAAAAAAAAAAAAAAAAAAAGTAATTAACTTTTTAAGACAAAATAGTGAGAAAAAAACACAAGTCATAGAATATACAGTAAGTTCTAAAAAATGGAGGAGGGGGAAGGGAAAGAGAGAGACAGAGAAGGTTGAATGTCTGTTTATACAGGTATGGAAAAAGTATGAAACACACTAACAAGTTAACAGTGGTCATGATATGCATATTTCTTATTTTAAGTGTTTCCTCTTTCCTAAAATGAATAGCTATTCTGTAATCAGAAAAGTATTTTTCAAACAACAACATTACATATGCTTATCCTTGACTAACAGATGGAAATGTCAACGTGGCATAGTAGCTAAAACAGTGAACTATTAAGTAATTTCATTAACCCCCAAAATTTGTTTTAACAACTTGAACAGTTATAAATAGTAGGTAAAATAATGTCCATGCTAACTCCTTAATGTATTAACTCCCGGTTCTCTCCCATTCAATGTATGAAATTACCCATGATGTCTGTTAAAGCACACTCACACTAAATAATGTATCTTTTGTTCTCACAGTGAGATTAAAAAACAAATGCAAAATGACAGATATTCCATTATAGTTATTTAGAAAACACAGAGAAAATTCAATGCTACAACTATATTGCATGAGCTGAGGATACTACTGAGGACACTGCACCAATTAACAAATTTAATTTTGAAGAGCTGATTACAACCTTAATAAAGGATGTACAGGAATATGCCCATTCACTTTTCTGAGATATAATTATTGAAAAAATGTAAAGCAACATTCCAAAAGGTCAGATATACACACTAAAGACGAAAGAGGGGATATACCTTCAAGGACCTGACACCAAACTATAGGGGCTTGTAGCACAAATCTTTCCCTCGATGACAAACAGAATCAATAGTCAGATCCACTGGGAGGAATAACAGAGCAAGAAACATGGTCACAACACTTTAATGGCACATTGCTTTGAAGCAGTTAATGTGATGCTAGGAGAAAAAGTCACACGATATGAATCCTGAAACTTAAATAAGCCTAGAATACACTGACTAAGCTAATAGCTATTGAGGATGGAGAGTCACACTCAGCTTAAGGAAAAGCAGTAAACCAACTGCATGGAAATAAAAGTTCTTTGTAGAACCCTTTAACAGATATAGAATAATTGTAAATGAACACATAAAAACAAAGAGGATTATAAGATTATTTATTGTTACTGAATCATTTCTTAGGGGAAAAAAAATATATATAAAAAGTTTCCCCCACCTCCTGTTTACTATTCCTAGAAGAAATGTGCACTGATTAGTTTTCAGATCTTGCTAGATTTGGGATAACATGATGCAGCTTGAAAATGTGACAGAATGTGCTTAAGTGGATCATTATAGAAAACTAGAGCATCCCATAAGCAAGAGAAACAAAGAACATAAAGAAATTAAGTTTTAAGAAACCCAACACATGAATATTTTGATGTCAGTGTTGGTGGCTAGGTTAAAAATGAAGTCTACACTATTTACTTCTTTAAAGACTTACCTCTTCTCAGAAAGGACTTCAAGGTGCTTTACAAGAAAGGATGTAATAAAGTGAATACAAGATAAAACTGGATTGCAGATATAACATATTTTGCTGATAGGAACTTTACCTTCCAATATATAGTCTTAGGTAGCTCTTCATAGCGCAAACTTTTCGGCATTACTATGCCCTTTCAGCCTTGGTTGCTCCTAGGGACTAAGGTGTGGCACTAAGCATGTGACATTAGGAACTCAGTGACATCATAATCACTTAGCTCAGAGGCATTGTATTGTTACTTCGTACATCAAGAGCAAGGCACGTTGAGGCAAGATTCCGTGCTATAGAAAACTTGAATATTTTAAATGACAAACTTCTTCGAAATGCCAGCACTCAATTTCAATAGCTCAAGATAGAGAACAAAGCAGGTATCTGCTCAGTTTTCCAAGGGATGATACTATGCAACCAGAAATTACTTGGACTGAGAAAAGGCAACAACTCTGTGTCAACCTAAATAGGAAATCACTACATTTCCTTTATTCTATCTAAAACTCATAACCATCTGAAACATACATATAATGAACTGAGAAAGATTAATCTTTCGCAATGATATGGATAATCTGTGGTAAGCAAAATCTCCCTATCATCTTACAACTCATATAGGTAAATCAGCAAATAAGAGTAGAAAAAAGCTTTATTCCTTGTCAGAACTACATGAGCAACAATATATATGAATCTCATAAAATTATATGCTGACATAAAACAATGAAAAAGAAAAATATCAAAGGGGCTGAACCATAAACTTGTAACGTAATATTACATTTAGAAGCTGTAGAACATGACCACTGTGAATATCAATTAGCCATAACAGAATAATTAAAGTAGCCATGTATTCAATTAGTTGAGTACTCGACTTGTGTTATAAATGAGAAATTACATAGGGTTCACTGAGCCTTTACCAAGTGATGCTGATAAACAACTATATTTAAAGAGCTGTTTTCCAAACTATACCAGAAAGTGACCTTCAAGAGGGTAACTCATCTAGGTGAATGTAAATGATGCCCAACCCATTATCAACATCGTCATACTTTTCAGTGACCATTTAGAGTCAGAAGCATAAGCTGTAGGCAACCCACTGTACTGATGTCCACTAACACCACCATACCTCATGTAGGTTGAACACAGACCAGAGTTAGGGATAATAAAAGCACACTCTTCCAGTAGACTTCTTTATCTGAAGTCTGGCATTCAAACCCAAGGCCCCAGGATTAGGTGAAGTCAGTTTGTTCTTTTGTTTATTTGTTTTGTCTTTCCCAGAAAAGTTTCAAGAATCCTGGTCTACATGTCAGCCTTTTCAATACTAATAGCTTACAGGAAACAGCCCACTGAGTATTGTCCTTTGCAACTTTTGGGCGTGCAGGTTTATTCTTTTGAAATAAGAAAGCAGAGGCAAAGATTAAAACTAAAAAGTAAAGCCAGACCAGGAGCGGTGGTAATCCTAGCACTCCGGGAGGCCAAGGCAGAAGGATCTTTCGAGATCAGGAGTTCAAGACCAGCCTGAGCAAGAGTAAGACCCCATCTCTACTAAAAATAGGAAGAAATTAGCTGGATAACTAAAAATATATAGAGAAAATTAGCCAGGCATGGTGGCGCATGCCTGAAGTCCCAGCTACTCGGGAGGCTGAGGCAGAAGGATTGATTGAGCTTAGGAGTTGGCTGTTGCTATCAGCTAGGCTGATGACACGGCACTCTAGCCCAGGCAACAGAGTGAGACTGTCTCCAAAAAAAAAAAAAAAAAAAAACAGAGTGAGACTGTCTCCAAAAAAAAAAAAAACAAAACCAAAATGTAAAGCCAACAATGAATAAAAGAGGAGACTATTGGACTACAAAATTCAGAACAAAAAGCAATCTAGCGTTATTTAGCTTTAAATTTTTCCAGAACTTCTCTCATAACTTTTATGCAGATCATAGTATTCCACAAAAGCAGCAGAATTAAGTGCTATTAATAGATGAAATCAGAACCAGTTTTGTAAGATTTTTTTCTATGGTTTGGGAAGGGGGAGGTTTAAACTTTCCATTTACTTCTCCTGTTTCCTAGTTTTATTTCATAATTCAGAACTTATTAGCACTATGGCATAGTAGGAGACTCACTTGGTGAAGAGAAAGGGGACCCAGATGCTCACCCTTGCTCTGCTAAATCACCATATGACCATGCACCGACCACCCCAGCCCCCATTTCCAAAACTGCTCTTGAAAGTTACTTCATGTGGTTTTCCCCAAGTTATACCTCTCATGTGGTTTTCACCAAGTTATACCTCTGCTATGTCTCTCACTTTTGCATCTAATAAAATCTTTCAATAGGTTTCTTATGGCACTTGTTTTTGATTTGCCTTGTATCATACATGTTTACTTTCCCACTGCCTCTCCTTACTTGTAAACTGTGAAACAAGAAAGGGGCTTCCCTCCTCTCTATGTCTTTGACTCAACCTAGATCTGTACTGCCCACAAAGGAAACACTCAGTACATGGTGGCTGAACTAAATGAACTACACTGAGGGGACAAGTTTGTACAAAGTACGCAGTCACATCTTCTAGGAAGGAAATCTGTCACAATGTCCATGATTTACTTCAAAATGCCACAGCAGACATTATGTGTATGTGTTTTTTAAGCTCTGAACTAGGTGCTGTCACCATGTTACCCAAGTAAGCACAATCCAAGAGCAATCAGCAAGTATTCTCATAAGCAGCTCAAAATTGGAAGCTCACAAAGTAGAAGAAGCTACCAGAAGGGCTCATTCATCCATGTCTTGATAAACAGTAATGTTTTGCTAATTAGTAAAATGACTGTTGGAAATAGGATTTTATTAGTGAAAATGGTCCATTAACTAGCATGATAAATGCTACATATGGGTTCTTATTAGTAAAATGAAAGCTATCAAAAAGATACAAGGGTTAGATGTCATATTATAAAGATACCCTACATCTGCTACAGGAACAGGTTATGTGAATCCAATGAGGCCTATAGATCTAGCTTTAGGGATGGTGCCTCAGAATTGATCCCTAAGCAGTCCTATATCCAGCCATTCATTTAAGACAGAGATTCTCATCTTTGGCACTACTGACATTTTGGATCAGATAATTCTTTGTTGTAGAGAGCTGTCCCATGCATTGTAGAAAGTTTAGCAGCATCCCTGGCCTCTAACCCGTAGAGCCCCGTAGCACCACCCCTTTATCCTGAGTTGTGACAACCAAAAATGTTTCTAGACATTGCCAAATGTCCCCTAAGAGGCAAAACTGCCCCCTGTTAAGAATCACTGATATAAGAGGATTGTTGGTTGTCTGCGGCCAACCACATACGCAGCCTCATCTGCCTTGAGTGAACCTTTCCTGCAAAGAAAAGTTCTTAAAAAACAAAACCAAAAAAACCCCAAGACTTTGTTGAGTTTTACATAATAGGTTTATGAATTATTTTGTACATGCTTGCTGATAAGGTTTTGTTCAAAAAATGTCTATATGTGTTGTAAAATTGGGCTGGGAGTCTACTTGTGTTATACCTGGTAGTAGGGTTGAATTGCAAAGCCACAATTTACAAAAGCAATGGGGGCAGCTTACATCTATGTAACGAATCATTTCCCAGTGAGATAAAAAACAGGAAATTTTAATATATTATTTTTTTAATTAAGGAGGATATGTATAAAACATGTACAAAGCTCATTGTTTTCTATAGCTCTTGGTAAAAACCAGAATCAAGGCTTGCTTCTATCACATAAGATTTTTAAATCCTTTTAACTGCTGCTCAGTTCAGGCAGGACTGATATTCAGTTGACATGAACTGGTACTGGTTGTTTAACATTTGTTCTGCTTGGGCAGTGACTATGCCATACCTGTTGTTAAATATTTTATATATCATTCCTGAGAACAAAGCGTATTGCGATTCCATTATAACTTACAAGTTTCATGTTACAAAGTAACATGACATTTCAACATGAAATTTCAATATGAAAGGTGCTAAAATATATAACCTCATCAGTTCAGTGACATATATTCTGTGCTCCTCTCCCAACATTCATTTAAAAATATATATCCATCACAATCCCATATGTATAAGAAACATTAAATAAATGCTGAATCAAAAGCAAAATAAACTGTTAGGGTTTCAGAATTCTCAAAAATACAGTTTTATCTTCTCTAACAACACTACGTAGCTTTAGCTAGGACATGTTTATAAAATACACAAATGAATATAAACAGGCATCCAGTCTAAAAAAAAAAAGACCATGCTGAACCAAATTCAGCAACTGAATATAAAACATAAAGTTCCAGAAGACTAAGTTCTATAAAATAAATAAGGACTCCATGTCACAGAATCATTAGCAAGCTTAAAAACTTTAAAGCTAAGAATTATAATTGAAAGAGGAAAAAGTGGTAAAGGGAGCCATACCCAATAAAACTGTGCGATTTCGTGGACTTAGAGTAGGAAGGGGTTTTATTATCAAATTCAGCTGCAGCATAGATTGGTGTTATCAACTACTGAATGCTACCATTACATGTAAAAGCAGGGTGGTCTCAACTCTAAACCACAGCTGTTGAGGAACAGAGTGGGAAGAAGTACTAAGCATTTTGAGTTATGTGACTTAAGGTGCAATTATACTAAAGTGTCTCTATCTTCTTATTCCATATTGTGGGGAATAAAACTTCCATTTTCAGACACTTACATATAATCTTGTTTTACCATGGAGATTAAAAATCTCAGAAGCACTTTGCACATAGAGATGCTAGTTAAACTGCACTATCTGCGCCTAGGCATTTGGTGTCACCGATCTGACAAATAAATTGGACAATAACATGGAGACAATTACCGTACAACTTCTGAATTCCTTTTCTTTGTATTAACTTGTATTTGTTCAATTTAAATTTAGATTTAATGTTCACACTATTGGGACCAATTGGCTAGTCAACTTCTTCAATCTGTTTCACATTCAGAGCTAGAAAAAACAGCCAGAGATCATCCAGTTCATTTTATAGGAAGTAAGTGAGGCTCTAAGTTTCTTGTTGGCTAAGGGAATTCTCGAAGGTTGAGAGAGAGCTGATTTTAAGACCCCTGCCTCTTGACAGCAGTACACTTGCCATCGCTCTCTGCTTCTACTTCTTTTCATGTTGGCGTGAAGTTAAGAGAAGAAAATGTAAAAATGACTAATCAAACGTCTGTAGTGATTTTAAGCACTATTCAATATAAAGAGATTTTAAAAGATTTTCTGTAACAGTTAATGCAGAGTACACTAAAAATATCTTATCTTCCAAACTACCTGTATACTATGTCAAGTTCAGGTCTCCTGGGATGTAGATGCTGAGGCATAGGTACAGTGAGACTAAGGGAAAATGTTTGGGAAGGACAGAGGAGAGAAGGGACAGGAGAAGGCAGGACAGTCTTGGACTATATTACAGGTCTGGCAACAGGAGAAAGGGAAGGAAGGAGACTACATGTAAATAGCCAAGCTGATGGGGAGCCCCAGAGCATGCACTGAACCCCAAAAGTGCAATAACTTGACGCTGTCAGCTAACTGCAGCACACTCTTCACAGTAGATTCTTAGAGACAGAGCTGAAGGGCACATTCCCATGGCTGCCAAATCATTGGATTTGCTAATTAACACAAAACAAAATGATGACAACAAACTCTGAGCAAGCAGGTCTTAGACAACAAACTCTGAGTAGGTCTTAAACGTCAACTTCCATACCAAACAGATTAAATAAATCTAATTGGACCTATGGAATACCACCTAGCCCATAGTTCTATGCAGTAGAAAAAGCAACGAAATAGGCACCAGAGAACTGAAGCTTTAATTTCATCTTGGTTGCTAACAATCTTGGTGGGTGTGTTTTCTTATTTGTAAAAGTCGGGGAGGGGATAGGCTAAATACTATCTAAGATCCCTCTAACATCACATTTTATGCATTACATTTACCACAACATTTCTTCTATTATTCATTTTGAATCTACTATACAGCTAGGCCAGAGGAAATTCAATAAATGTGTATGCTCTGCTGCCAAATTGCTAGGATGCAACAAGCACACATTAAACAACATTTGGAAATAACCATGTGTATGTGACACCTGGTTGCCAGGGGCAGACCTGTGTGGCGGCAGCGATGTTCCCTCTCTGTCTGACTTGGCACTGGCAGTGGGTTTGCAACCACCACACCAGGGCCTTAGCAATATTCGCTGGGCTCCTTCCTGAACCTAACACCATCTGCCAAATGCAAATAGGTAAGATTGGAGCTGGAAGGGGCTACTTTTCTAAAACAAGTTCAACTCATAGCTGCTGACAAAAATCACACTAGTTCTTGTTCTCTACATACAAATGGGTCAGGCATCTTCATCTAATTATGGCTCTTCACAGAGGCTGGTACAATTATACCTTATGCACATTTAGCTTATGCAAACTCAACTGCCCAGGATGTGAAGGTGGGAGAGAGAAAAATTTAAGTAGTGCTCAGGATTCCACCTGCTCCACAAGAAAGGCTGGGACAGGAGACATACATCCGGCTCTGTTCTCGGCCTGTGTCATTTCCCACATACCCTCATAGTTACAGTGAGCATCTCTTCCCAGCGAATGGAATTCTAGTGGTTGAAGTTACATAGGTTTCAACCAAGCCTTTAAAGGAAAGCCAGCATTTCCATCTAGTGCTTAACAAAAGAAACCCACTGACCCAATAATAGAAGAAAAACTAGCAGTGCTGGACTCTTAAGAAAAACTTTGAACAGAAGAAATTTTTACCTTACATGTTGATCTTAAATCCTTAAGTGAGCTACAACTCCACAATATTCCAAGGAAAGTGAAATTTAGAAAAGTATTTAAAGGATAAAAATTACTTCTAAAAAAAGCCTTCAGCTTACCTAACCAGGGAAAGGAGGTTAGGAGATAAGATCATGGGAATAACCAGTGATAAACTCAGCCTTAAACAAAGCAAGAAGGGAAAGAATCTTCAAAGGGAAGGATGGAAAGAAGAGAATGTACCCCAAGCACAAATCATCTGAATAGAGAGCAACAGAGTATACAAGGCAGATGGAAACAAGCCACTTCAGCTCCTGGATGGAGCTGGCTGGAGAAAGATGAGAGGACAGCTGTGATCTGCCTGCTGGAGAAGCCACACAGAGATGACAGCCAAGATCACAGGAGGGAAGCCCTCAGCCCTCTTGTCTAACTCAGCCCTTGGGCCTGGCTCTTTTAGATTTATCTTTGTTCTCACTCCTATTTGTGTGAGAAGACCAAGGAAGCAGAGAACTCTGGGGCCTGAAATTCTAGAAGCCCTTGGTACACTGGATGTGACGGGTACCCTTAACCAGAGGTTTGCTGTTAAGAAACTTAGCAATTGATGTCATTAAAATGTCAACTTACAATTTTGAACATCTTCGTTGCTTTTAAAGACCTATAACTACATGATCGCACTAGAAGGCCTCACTACCCAGCAATGTAAAGTACAATCATCCCCAAGTATCTGTAGAGGATTGATTCCAAGACACTCGTGTACCAAAATCCACAGATATTCAAGTTCCTGATACAAAATGGAGTAGTATTTGCATATAACCTACATAAATCCTCCTGCATACTTTAAATCATCCCTAGATTACTTATAATACCAAACAATGTAAAACTATGTAAATTTTTATACTGTATTAGTTTTTTATTCATATTACTTTTTTACTATTGTATTGTTTTTTTCCCAAATATCTTCAATCTGAGGTTGGTTGAATCTGCAGATAAAGAACCCGCAGATATGAAGGGCCAACTATAATACAGTTTCTACACAAACCTTTTTATTCTTATTTTCTTTACAGTTAAGGAAACAGTAGCAGACAAGAAACTTGCCTGAAATCCACATGCTGGAAGAGATGTCTCCTGAACACAGAGTTTCTGACTCTTCCCATGAGAGCTCACCAGGCAGACCGTTCTCTATGTTTAGACCCATCAATAAAAAGCAGTCCCATAATTTTGATTTGGTTTTGCCTGCTAAAAGTCAGAATATCATTAACTACCTGACATGGGTATCCTGTCTGCTTTATGGTTATGGCTATCGTTTTAATTATATATTACCTTTCTGGCTTAAAAATCAGCCTCCTGTGAGTATAATTTTAATTAATCCACCATTTGATTAGATGCTAGAAAGCTCCTAGCAACTGTTCAGACTGAGGAGCTAAGCGATCAGATTCCAGCCCAGAAGAGAGTGATTCCCACCCTTAAGCCCTTAAACCAAGCACAAATATATCACATGTAAAGTGATGATCTTAATGGCAAACCATGAATGATACCTCGTGTCGTATTTCTCAGCTATCAAAAATACTCAGACAAAAAGAGGAATAATCATGTACATTTTGAGGCAGGAATATATCATAGAAGGTCCTCAGATGTGAAAGATACTGTTAGGATCCTAAAGCTACTTAGTCATAAGTTAAGAACAGAATACAGATTATCTTGATTCACACTTTAAAACTAGCATACTAAATGATATCTCAGATAGTCTTTTTTTTTTTTGAGACAGAGTCTCACTTTGTTGCCCAGGCTAGAGTGAGTACAGTAGCGTTAGCCTAGCTCACAGCAACCTCAAACTCCTAGGCTCAAGCAACCCTTCTGCCTCAGCCTCCCAAGTAGCTGGGACTACAGGTATGCGCCACCATGCCCGGCTAATTTTTTCTATATATTTTTACTTGGCCAATTTCTATTTTTAGTAGAGACGGGGTCTTGCTCTTGCTCTTGCTCAGGCTGGTTTCGAACTCCTGACTTTGAGCAATCTGCCCGCCTCGGTCTCCCAGAGTGCTAGGATTACAGGCGTGAGCCACCACGCCTGGCCTCAGATATTCTTAAAAACCTACCTGTGAATAAAAAAGAATCCCAAAATAAAAATTCTTAATATATTATTCCAAACATAACATCACTACCACCCCATCTCAGCCACCACATACACACAAACATATTAAAAAGCATGCTCTAATGTTGCATTTGCAAGGGTTGATCATCTACAGAGCTTCAAGATGGAATTCCTTTCCAGAGGCATTTACTAACCGAGATAAGTACTGTAGAGTGGACAAATATATTACAGACCACAAATCACAATAGCTGCATGAAAAAACATTTTCACTGAAAATGTTTACTGAAAGTAATAGACATATATGTTAAGCATCAATAACCAAGATGTGTAACTCAATTAGTATGGTGAGATAAATATTTCACCGACAGCTCTGGCTTGCTCCTGTAAAAATTTACAATATTATGCAAACAGAAGTGGATGTGAAGTGCCTTCACTACAAAAATTGTAACCACATAAAGTAATACATTTGTTAAGTAGCTAGACTTAACCATTCCACAATGTATATATACTTCCAATCATGTTGTACATGATAAATACATACAATATTATCTGTCAATTTAAAATTTTTTTTAATTTAAAAAATTTAGAATATTAGTTAACTATTCAATTTTTTAAAATGTTGAATGTTTTGTGATCCTTGCCATTTATCACCTGGCATAGAATATTCCAGGCTATAGTAAAGAATTAGTGCTTTTTCTAACTGAACCAAAAAGACAAGCTGTTTGCTTTGAAAAATGGCTACCACCTGCTATTAATCTGAAACTGAAAACAAGCAGTGTAATGACATTTAGCAAGTTAACACCCCCTCTACCACTTTCCAGAAAGATGAGGATAAGTGACATTTCACAATCTTCTGAAAAAAACTAAAAAAGTAAAAAATAGAAAAATTCTAAGATATAGATTTTTATCTTACTACTGATAATGACCTATGAGATTATTAAAACCAGACACTGTGCCCCTGCAGTGTGACAAGCCTGGTTTAAGCACAGAAGGAATTCCCTTCCAAGCCCCCCTATCTTTTTCCTTTTTTCTTTTTGTCTGGTGTCAGATGAATACAGCGGTAATGATGACATGATCAAGGAAGAGCTGAGGGCCAGCTGGAATATTTGTAAAAAGACTGCCTGGCTGGTCTTTGCAACAAGCTATCTTTTGTCCTACTGGAGGTTTCTGTCACCTGAGGTAGCCTGCATCCTCAAGAGATGAAATGCAACATGAAACTATTAATTGATCTATTGTCCAAATAATTCCTATAACACTTTACAGAACTTTCCCAATTTGGTTGATGGAACAGCCTGGCCATCAACTTAGCTCTAAGCACAAAGCCTTCTGTGTCTAAGCAAACTACACAATTCATGATAGTCCATAAATGACTCCGGGACATTCTAAATGTGTCTCTTCCTGCCGGAAGAAATAAACCATACCTTATATACGTGCTAACCTGTAAAGCTAAATGCTAAAATAATTTGTCCATCTGAAGAACAAAACAAACTTAATATACCTATTCATTTATTCAATAAGCACTCAATGAAAACTTATGTTATGTGAGACCTTCAGACACTGAAACTGGACATGGTAGACTACAATAAATAACTAGCCTATTGCATCTCATTCAATGACCATAAACCACAATCCTGAAGCTCCCATTTACACACATAGCTATAAAACTACTAAGAATCCATTCCTGTCTACAAATGCTGTTTCTCAGGAACTTGCAAATTGGGGTAGAGGGCAGTACACAGGTTGTAAACACAAACAACTATAATAAAAGATAATATATGATAAGGACAAGTATGCTGCAAGGAAAATAAAGGATTTGGTCAGCTGAACTGAAACTTGAAAGCTAGTGAGCAGGATTTAGATGGGCAGAGACAAAGGCCATCACAAGAAAGGGGACAATAAACAGAGACACAGAGGAGGGAAGAAAAGAGAGTTCAGCAAGTGTTTCAGCTGGAGAGGGAATTACGGTAAGAGGGCCAGAAATAGGTGGGAACTAGTCTGCAGGAAGACTTAACTGGCTAAAGGGTCTGGACTTCATCCTGCAGGCCATGGGGGGCCTCTAAAGGTTTTTGAACAGTGAAAACAGTATGTTAGAAAGACTACTCGTGGTGTATAGGATGAACTAGAAAGAAGGGAGAAGCCAGTAGGGAAATCATTAAGGGGACTGTCGAGAATATCCAGGTGTGAGATAACAGGACCTACACGTGCTGAATGACAGTTATGTTTCCACCAGCATTTTCTGAATGTCATCGAAAGACAAGGTATAAATTGTAGTGAGAGGGCAGTGAACTACAAAACTGAAAAAAAAAATGTTCCAAAACAAAGGGAAATGTACAAGAATGAACGCAATGCATACCATTGACCATACCACAGAAAATCTCCAAATAGAAATAACCACTGACAGCATGTAATTTGGATATAGGCCACTGACACATTTCAAAGATCAAATACCCTATTCAAACATGAAATTAAAGAGAAAAATATAATTTTATAAAAGGAGAAAAATTGGGATATATCGTGTGAGGAATTAGGAATTGTTTTCTTTAACCATCAGTTTCAGTCAATGGTTGGAAATATGGTGTTTAGGAGAATCATGCTGCCATCTCAAGGAAAAATATAATTGGGAGTTCTCCTGTGTCCTTCCATCAAAAGTTCAAATATGCTACAGTCCAACACCAAATTTTAAGTCCTTTATCCTAAATGAAAAGCTACTATATAAAACCTCCAACCCTACAAAAATCATGGTGGCTCCAGCTATAAATTTTAAAATATCCTTGTTTTAGAGTTTGTTCAGGTATTTGACTGAGATGTTCAGTATGCCATCTTCAAAACGTGAGTCCAAGTAACCTGTACTCTATTTTTAACTCATGACTTACCTAGCTTTCTGAACTTAAAAGCACCCTTTCACATCTGAGGCCCTGGGTTTCTAAGGTATGCACTAAACGTTAAAATTCTACACCCTTCTCTAATGAAGAGATCATCCTTTTCAACAAGTGGTTAAAATGCCCCAAGAAGTAGATCAGAAGCATAAGCCCTTGCCCCAAGTAGGGGTCCAGGCCAGGCAGGCCCCTGTAAGCTTCTGTATACATTTCAACAAAATGGAAAATGGACCCAAAGGGATAGCAGACCCCTGAACTCAGGAGTCTGGGGAAAGCTGCTTCTAATAACAAAGATTAATAAAAACTGATAGTTGTATATAGCACATTACAATTTATAAAGCTCTTTTGTATTTATTACATCATTTAATTTAAGTCTCAAAACAATGCTAGGACTTAATTAAATTCTCAAAGCTACGCCTAGAATACTACATAGCAGAGGAGTAAAATAAATAATCCCTGCCAAAATTATCACCCAACTTCATAGTGGACTACATTGAGGGTCACAGAAGTGAAAAGAGGCCAAGTTACACAGCCAATAAATAACAAGATTTTTTTTTATTAATCAACCACTCTTTCATTATTAACACAACCACCTTTATCATCTTCCCTACAAAGCCATGCCAGGCTCTACTGACTATTCCCTTTTAGAAAGTCTTCATGGCACTTGCAACCCACAGCACGCAATTCACTCAGCAATGGTTAAGGAGGAACTCCTAAGCATGGGGCGTTGTACAAAGTGCCATTGCTTAACGGCAGGAGCAAGAACAAGAAAATAATCAGACACAGGTTTTCCTATGAATAACTTGCATCAGGAAATAACATAAGCATGTATAGTTGCCCCCTGAACACAGGTTTGAACTGCACGCATCCATTTATACATGGATTTTTTTTTCCTCAAAAAACATGGATCAAAAATATAGTATTTCTGGGATGTGAAAATCATCTTATATGGGGGACCAACTTTCCACAGATGCAGGATCTACCAGGCTGATTTCGGGACTTGAGTATGCACAGATCTGGGCATACAAAGGCGGTCCTGGAACTGATTCCCCGAGTATACCAAGGGATGACTACATTTATAACTATAAAAGTAAAATTGATGGACTGTGAACTCCCCAAGGGCAGGGATTATGTCTTTCTATAGCTGTATGACCACAGCCCAGCCAAGTGCCTGTAAGCACATAACAGATGTTCCTCAAATGCTTGGTGCATGGCTGGGAGAACAGGAAGAGCTCCTCTGGCTCCTAC